ACCTGCAGCAGCTCTCAAAAGGTGGTGGTAGAGTCAAAGAGTGGAAGGTCTAAATCCCATTTTTAGTTCCAATTTAGAAACATTAAATTAGGAGCAAGAATTTTATGGCCCTTGAGAGGTTTCTGGATTGCAGCTAGTGCTAGCTAGGTAGTTATAGTGCAGTTAGGCATTTCTGTTCAAAAATATTTGGATTAAACGAACTTGATATGCAATAGGATTTTGATCTGTGAAAGCATTTGGCTGTCTGCATCCAACTGTAATGTCGTTGGTCTATACTTGTGTTGGGAGTTTCTGCTGTTATTATTTTCCTCCTTTTTTCTCCCTTTGCGATCTAAAGTCCCATCTCCCCCAGGGGTGAGAAGAACAGGGTACAAAGGTACTAAATAAATAAATAAATAAACAAACAAATAAATAAATAAAGTGGCTTATAATAGTTTCAATAACCATAGTGTAAATGTTGCAGCATGCAAAGTTATAAAAGCAATTAAGCAATCATAAAATTAAAACCAATTAAAATGGAAATTATTTAAAATATCAACAGACATCCAGCAAGGCATGCCTCCCCTAAAAAATYAGCTTTCTGAGTCCTGCTGGACTAAAACAATTGGCTGCTTGTGGAAAGATTGTAAGGGAGGTACTAGTACAGGGTGAGGCAGCATAACTTCCTTTTTTCAAAACTTAATAAAATCCATTGTATGAATCAGAAATTTTTATTTTATTTTTTATAATGTAGGCACATACCTAAAGTTTTGTTTTACATCRTTTTGAAGATCAAATTAGCTAGGTGATGTCCCACATTCTTCATTCYCCATACAYCGATTTCTSGCGTTTGTCATGACTCTTGCCAGCATAGCAGGTGTTATGTTGGCAATTTATTCCTGGTTGTTGGTCTTCAAAGCTTGTAGGGTCCTTGGATGGTTCACATAAACACRGGATTTCCAAAAAAAAAAACCCATAGAAAAAAATCACAAGGGGCCARATCTGGAGAGCGGGCCGRCCTCTCCAAATCTGCTCGAAAAGTAGGCCTCAATGGCAAAAGCACACTCCTCACTGTTCCAACGCATGATGGYGACTGAACTGTGTCAGGATAAAACTTTATACTCCCGCCTCTCGAACGAGACCACTAGCGCTCCACTACATCTTCAACCGACTGAATGGCGTGCATTTTTTAAAAGGAARTTATACTGCCTCACCCTGTATAACCTTTCTGAGAAGGGAATTTAAAAGTTGAGGAACAGCTGCTGAGAAGGCYGTCTCCTGAGGTCCCAYTAAATATATTGCTGAGGATGAGAAGGGCCTTCAGAGAAGATCTCAAAAAATGGACAGGTTTGTAAAATAACCTGGATGAGCTATATAATAAAATTGTGTGTCACCCACACACTGATGAAACCGGACCCCAGAACTCCACATGGCAGTTCCATCTTTATATGTACATCACCCCCACCATTTCATTTGCTAGGTATTGCTTTCCTGCCAGTTGTTTGAGTGCTTATTGCTATTTCAAATATGTGTCCCCTCCTTTACAGTGCGAATTTGGGAAGCTTATATTTGATAGCATTTTGACAATAATTTTTCTGAAGTGTGAATGTTTTCCATCTATTCCACTTCTACCATGAATGCTTAGTGATAAGGATGGATAAATGTTGGCCTCAAGGTATGCCCCTTAGAACATTGCTTAGATCTATGAGGTTCACGTGGAATTTCTAGAGAGTATTTCCTGGGACAGCACTGGCTGGTGGCACTGAGTTATTGCTATAAAGCAGCCAGACTCCAATGTAGTGAGTAGCATCTAGTTGGCAGAGTGGGGGAAATAAAATGAAGAAGGTGTGAGTGGGTTCCAAGGTTCTTAGGGTGCCAGCCACAATGCGTTCCTCTCTTCCAGTGCGTGTGGCAGCCAGAGATGACATCACTGACAGAATTGGCTCATTTCCATTGCTAGCTAAGATTCAGAAGAGAATGCAACTGTAGCCATTATGAAAAAGAAGCTGAAGAAAGAAAAGGGAGGCATGAAGGTGTGTTAGCAAAAGCAAGGCGAGAATGATGGAGAAAGCACAGAAGGGTATGGTGAGGACAGCACAGACAGAAAGGAAAGAGAAGTGTCTTTTCAGGGGCTCCCCCTTTCTACAGACATATGAAAAGTGAATAATAAGTAGATGTGGCCCCACAATCCTCCAGACCAGTTAGCAAGGACAGCTGCCTCTTCATCTACACAGAATATGGTCACTATCATGCTCTTTCTACCCCCTCCATGCATCTCCTCTGTTCCTCTTCTTTTTGCTATTAAGACTTTTTCCATTGCCATTAAGACTTCCCTCTTTGCCAGGCAGTCTCAGGTTCTCAGACTTTGCAGAATCCAAAACATAATCCTTCTATCTCTGTCTTTCATTGGCTTTCTCCCATCCAAATGCATCTATATAAAATGTTCTTCTACTTGATTCTTCTCCTCCAGCTATTCTTGGACTATTTGCTTGCAATTCACTTGACATTTTTGCCACTGATTAAAAGAGGAATCAGAATTTCTTCAACCTTTGGCTCTTTTGTACCCCTGCCTCTGTGTTCTCACTTTATGCAGGCAGTCACTGGTCAAAATTGAAAGAGATCTATGGTCATAATCACTTCAACATTCAGGTTGCACTCACTTTACTGTCTCATTGCCATTCGACATAGGTCCAGACATATTGATCCATGAACTTGATCTAACTATGAAGTCAAGTGACACAGAATAATAATAGCTGGCAAGGCTGTTGACCTAGCTGGATTGAGTATTCCTGTTTTCTTTAGATAAGAAGTTGTGTTATATATATTTATTGCATTTGTGTGCTGCCTATCTCCCAGAGTGAGACCCAAAGTGGTTCCCCAAAACAATATTTTTTTTAAAAAAAACACAGTATGATTTAAAGCAATTAAAACCACATAAAACTGTATAAAACAAATACAAGATTTAAGTGATTGATAAGATAGCCCCATTAAAACAGTCTTTTGTATGTCATATCTTTGTATGAAAAATACAGTGGATCTTCTTTAGAAGTTACCTTAGAACATAGAAGACCCAACTGAACCCATGGTGTTTCTTTCCATCAGCTACACAATACCCATTAACATGTGGAAAAGAAAATTGGATATTGTGAATCAGAAAATATGGTATAATTATTGTTGACAATCTGATGAATATATGGCGTAATTATTTTTGCCAACCTTGGATGAAGGTTTAGAGAGTGTTCTTATCAAGTTTGCAGATGACACCACATTGGAATAGTTAATATTCCAGAAGACAGGCTCAAAATTCAAAATGACCGTAGCAGATGAGAGAACTGGGCTGAAAATAACAAAATGAATTTCAACAAGGAGAAATGTAGGATACTGTACTTAGGCAGAAAAAAATGAAATGCACAGATACATAATGGGTGATACCCAGGCATGTAGCCGGGGGTGGGGGGTGGGGGTGGGGTTAGGGGTTCAACCCCCCCCCCCAAATTTTCAGGTTAAAAAAACTGGTTTACTCATTAATTTTAACTGGTTAACCAAATCCCCATGCTAAGTCTATGAGACGCAAAAAATTAAGAGTTCCTCCATAACTGCAAGCACTATCTCAAGCAAATATTGACAATTTATCCACACTGTCATTACTTGCAGCAATAGCCGATGTAGTGAAGCAACCAAGTTGGGGGGGGGTGTTGAATACTCTCATTAAGGAGGCCAGACTTGGTGGAGGTGGTTGACAGGGGCGGAGCTGCAGGCTATTGAAGGCTGCTCTGCCCCCTGCTGTGCTCTTTGCTTCAGCGTGAGCTAGAAGGCAGGTTTCAACCCCCCCATGAAATTTTCACACACCCCCCCTGAAATTTTCAACCCCTCCCGAAATTTGTTTCTGGCTACGGCCCTGGTGATACCTGGCTCAACAACAGTCAATGTGAAAAAGATCTTGGAGTCTTAGTAAACAGCAAATTGAACATGGGCCAACAATGTGAAGCAGCAGCAGTCATGGTGCCCCTCTATTCTGCTTTGGTCAGACGTCACCTGGAATCCTGGGTCTAATTCTGGACACCACAATTAAAGAGAGATATTGACAAGGTGGAACAGCTGTAGATCAGTATTTTTGTGAATATGAGGAACATCTTAAAGAGCCGGGTCTGTTTAGCCTGCAGAAGGAAAGATTGAGAGGAGACATGATAGCCATGTTTAAATATTTGAAAGGATGTAATAAGGAAGAGGGGGCAAGCTTATTTTCTGCTAGGATTTGGAACATTGGGTTCAAATTCCAAGAGATTTCATCTGAACACCAATAAGAACTTCCTGACTGCAGGAGCTGTTCAATATGGAACATTCTGCCTCGGATTGTGGTGGAAACTCCTTTGGAGATTTTTTAAACAGAGGCTGGATGGCCATCTGTCGGGGGGGGGGGTGGGGGAGAATACTTTGACTGTATTTTTCCTGCATGGCAGGGGATTGGACTGGACGGCTCATGTGGTCTCTACCAACTATGATTCTGTGATGTTACCTTGGAAGACTGTACCTCATTTCAGCTCCTTTTCTATATCTTTATTACAACCATGATGGAAATCTATATGCCATTGCTTTGTTCTCTTTTTATCAGGCAGCTTATTAATGGATGATTTTCAGAATAAAAGGAAACAACACTACTCATACTACTTACTGTTGAGCTGTCCCAGTTATACTGACAGAGTTGAGTAATTAGGGACAGAGCTGGGTTTCATTTGTTGTCCTTCTAATACCATGTATTAGATCTGTGGAATCCAAAATTAGGAAAATCTTAGGTGATTTTAAGACTAAAGCATTGCATGTTGTCTGATTCTAAGTCTAAAATGAACATTGATCCTAAATTCAGGACACTGCCCTGTCAATGATACAAGTTTGTTGTTTTGGCTCTCTAACTGTACAGAGAATCACTTTAGTTTAAAAGTGTTTTATGCTCAGAAGCCTGCTGAGATCCTGCAGTATTTTTAGTTTTACTTTTATGACCTTGTTCCCTCTTGTGGTTTTAGGTTCTTCAGCTAATTGATTGCACCGAGGATAGAACTGCTTAATCATGGGGAGGAAGCTGGACTTATCTGGCTTGACAGAAGATGAAGCTGAACATGTCCTTCAGGTAGTCCAACGGGATTTCACCCTCCGCAAAAAGGAAGAAGATAGACTGAGGTAAGAACTGTGGTATATATAAAAATGTAGGTAGCAAACTCTGCAATATGCATTCTGTATCACCATGCTCCGTATTCCATCATACTCCATAGTCTGAAAACACATTGGATGATCTAAGCACAAGTTGCATTATGAGCTTTGATAGTTACAATACAGGCAGTCCCTGAGTTACAAACATACAACTTACAAACAACTCATAGTTAAGAACAATTTACTTCTAAAAAATTATCATGGTGAGAAAGTTTCTCCATTGAAGCTTTATCACCAATTCTTGTTTCCACCATGTCAAACTTTTCAAAATCCATCGCAGGGTCAGAAAGTGAGGGGAAATCTTCTGAATAAGGGCACAAACAGCAAAACAAACACCACAAGATGTAAACCCTCCCTTATGGTACTGACTTAAAATGCACTTTAAAATGTACCTGTTCCAACTTACACACAAATTCAACTTAGAAACAAACCAACAGAACTTATCTTGTTCATAACTTGGGGACTGCCTATATTCCCATTTTTTAATGTTTTCAGAAATCAAAATTTTGACTATAGATGCAATTAAAACAATAAAATATTGATATTGTTTCTTTTTGTTTTTTACATGTAGCACATGAAATAATAACACAAGCTACAGAAGATACTAACAAGCACTAGACTTCTCCCACTCTTTTTTTCAGTGCTTCTTTTGATAAATGAAATGAATTGGGGACATAGGAAGGTATCTTATATTGAGTCAGAACATTGTTTTATTTAACCCAGTACTGTTGACACTGACTGACAAGAGCTCTGCAATGTTTCAGGCAGGATGTTTTTCCAGCTTTCCCTGGAGATGCCAGGGATTAATTCTGGGATCTTTTGTATGTGAAGGATGAGTCCTGCCACTGATTGATTGACTTCTTTTTGTAGATACAAACATATTCTTCATTTTTTCTGCAGGGCCTATGAATTTCTTTTGTGGTAATACTAGTTTCGAAAACATGGGTTCACAGATTAAAAGAGATAAGTTGCTGGATTTCACTAAGCTTTCCTAAGTGGCATTTACATTCCTTTCTTTGTCTATCGTATCATGTCAATAGGCACTGAATTAGTAGAGGACTCTCATGTTTGCAGCCCAGATTGTAACATTCTGACTTAAAAGTATTATCATGCAATCTTTGTAAAAGGTGTATGTGAACAAATGCCATATTATTTCAATATGCCATAGCAGCCTTAGCTCATTGGGTAGAGTTTATTACATTCATACTTATTTGTATGTACCAATGTAGGTCAGAAATATGGCTGTTTTGAAACATTATGACATAATTGGATCCCCTTCAGATTTCATTATTGTTATCTTTCAAAGAACTGTATAAATGCTTATTCCTTGCAAATACAATATATTTTGTAGTATGTGTATTTTTCTCTTTTTAAAAAACTCTGACTCTGTTACAAAATACTATAGTAGAATAGGATGTCCAGAATTGTTGTTAAAAGGAACTGATGGAATAATAGATTGATTTCACAAAATGCTTTTAACTTATTTTAACTTAACGATTTATCTATTGTTTTAAACTGTTATTATATTGTTTTTTGCTTGTTTGTGTGGCATCGAATTGTTGCCAAGTGTACGCTGTCCTGAGTCCTCCTTCTGTGGTTCAGAACAACGGGATAGAAATACTAGAAATAAATAAATAAAGAAATAAAATTTCAAATTCCGGTGATGCTGCAATGTGAATTTGGGTGGATCAGCTGTGATCTAAGAATGGCATCAGCAAGTTGTTCTGACAAATACAGAACTGTTTATGAATCTGTTTATTTCATTTTTTAAAAAATCCAGGCAGTTTTTCATTTGGAAAAATGTTATGCATTTGTTCAGTAATAACAGTGAATGTTTATCAAGTTTTCTGCCCTTACAAAGACTATAGATTTGCCATGGTCGGTTTTTTTTTTAATTAAGCAAGATATTTGTTTCTTACATGTGAAATGTAAGAGTGTTTGCATCATCTTCTTTTTTTTTTTTTGGAATTTGATAAATTATCTATAAATGATTTGAAAGTAGGAGGATCAGAAGGAATTGCATAAAATTCATAATTTGACTTTCTGCCTCCATCAAAGCATATTAAGCTTTACTTGAGTCACACAGGGAATTTGTGGGCTGTGTGGTGCTGTGGATTTTTTTTCCATTTTGAGTGGAAGGAGAATTGAAGGATGTCCAGAAAGTATATGGAGTCTGATCCACTAATGATCCATTTTTAAAAATTTCAATGTGATGACTGTTTATTGATATTCACTGGTAATCAGTATATTCAAAAATAAGAATAAATACAAAGGAAGTTCTAATATGCTCCTCAGACAATGAAAGGAGAGACCGTTGTGTGTATATCTGGTGTCTAAGACTCCATCTGCAGTGAAGATTTAGTGCAGTTTGATGCCACATTAAGTGCCGTGGGTCAGTGCTATGGAATCCCTGGACTTATAGTTTAGTGAGGTGACAGCAGTCTTTGAAGAGAAGGTTAAGACCTTATGAAACTACAAATCCTATGATTCCAGACCAGGAACTACTGTAGGAATAAGACAAAGGAATCTGTTCTGAAGTGCAGATATAATACTATATATCCAATCACTGCCCATATCCTGGAAGTTACTCTGGTGTTTACAGGTTGAAAGAGGCATTTCTCATCTCATTTAAAATAATGTCTCTGCTGTCCAATGAGAAAGGTGGGGGGCAGCCCCAGGCTTTCTAGCTAATGATCAAGAAGTCTATTATCAGAAGGAGGCTGGCATAGCAAAGCAGCCGTAGGAATATTTACATGCGAGCTGCTCTTGGCTGGTACAGCTTATGAGGCCCTTGAGGGTGACTAACAACTAAAAGGGGCCTGCTATATGAAACTGCAAATGATGAAGTTTTCTATGCTGCACACCTTTCTTCTGGGACCATATCCACAACAGGAAGTCATACCCTCTATAGGTAAAACAGGTTAATATAGGATGTTGAGTTTTGAACTGAGACTAAGGAGATAGATGTTCAAAACTCCATTCAGTCCTACAATTTGTTGTGTGGTCTTGAACCAATCACTGTATCTCAGGTTAGTATACCTCAAAGGGGCAATATCTAGGCCATTCTGGGCTTCTTGGGGGAAGAGCAGAATAAAAAGGTAATAAATAATAATATGAAATTTATTTTAAATGAATTTTAAAAATGTGGGCATTTACACATCTGGAACCTGTAATTGAAACACTGTCTGATGCAGTAGCAAATATTTCCTGTTGCCTTAAATGACCTCCTAACACTTTCATTGCATAATGTAGCAGAGTGGTCATGGACATAATAAAAATTGCCCATTGGCAGACTAACGGTGATAAAGATCAAGACAGCTTCAGAAATATATTAACAGTCAGAATAAAATATGTGGAATACATTTTTAATATATTTCTGTGATTATGCCTTTCTGAAATAAGATCTTCCTGAGGCTAAAGATGCAGAGATGAGAAACAGTAATCAGCTCTTAATGTTACATTTTGCATTAGTGAAACACCAACATTCTTTTAGCTCAGTTTGTATTCTAGTGAGCTTGTGACTTAATTCAACAACTTGTTCTTCTACAGAAGTCTCCCCCATATTCAGAAGCCCCAAAGTGTTATTAAGGGACCCTATGGAGAAAGAGCCATAGAGCAAGAAGAGCTTGAGAAGTAGAAGACCAGCCCTCAAACATATGATTATGATTATGATGATAGTAAATTTTATTTCTTACCTGCCTCGCCTCATGGCTCAAAGTGAGGCACAACATACCTAAAACATATCATACAAACTAGCAGTAAAAAGCATATATTGAAACATATTTCTATACATAGAATAAGGATTAAAAATACTGTAGACATGGAACATGACTTTAATATTCACAGTTTAAAATTGACCAGGTAGGCATGCTAGTTGGGTCTTAAATTTTGGTAGCTTGTTTAGCTATCAAACGTCTCCCAGCAGACCGTTGTACAGTCTTGAGGTGATCAATGAAAAGGTCTTCTGAATGATGGTTGCCAGTTGAGTTCTGGCTGGCTGGAATAGGTGCACTTTGGAGGACCTAAGTGTTTGGGTCAGATTGTATGGCAATATGGCCTAAAATACATACTAAATGTGTAAGTTCCTGTCATCCAAGCTCTTTGAGTTCTCATGGGAACCTTGAGATCTTTCTTTCTTCATGAGACTTGAGGTAGCCTTTTCTCATCCCCATCTCTATGCGGATGACACACAACTCTACTACTCCTTTCCACCTAATTCCAAGGAGGCCTCTCGGGTGCTGGACGAGTGCCTGGCCGCTGTGTCGATCTGGATGAGGAGGAACAAGCTGAAGATCAATCCTGACAAGACAGAGGTCCTCCTGGTCGATCGTAAACCGGATCGGGGTATAGGGTGGCTACCTGTGTTGGACGGGGTTACACTCCCCCTGAAGCCACAGGTCCGCAGTTTGGGTGTCCTCTTGGATTCGTCGCTCACACTTGAGGCTCAGGTGTCGGCAGTATCCGGGAGGGCCTTTGCACAATTGAAACTTGTGCGCCAGCTGTGACCGTACCTCGCGAAGGCTGATTTGGCCGGGGTGGTCCATGCCTTGGTCACCTCTAGAATGGATTACTGCAATGCGCTCTACGTGGGGCTGCCCTTGAAGACGGCTCGGAAACTTCAATTGGTCCAGTGGGCAGCAGCCAGGATGCTAACCGGGGCTCATTATCAAGAGAGGTCTACCCCTCTGTTTAAGGAGCTCCACTGGCTGCCATTTATTTTCCGAGCCCAATTCAAGGTGCAGGTGCTCACCTACAAAGCCCTGAACGGTTTGGGACCACCCTACCTGCGTGACCGCATCTCCATCTACGAACCCACACGCTCGCTCCGGTCATCTGGGGAGGCCCTGCTCGTGATCCCACCCACGTCGCATGCGCGCTTGGTGGGGACACGGGACAGGGCCTTTTCTGTGGCGGCCCCCCGACTTTGGAACGCCCTTCCAAAAGAGCTTCGACAGGCCCCTACTTTAGCA